AGCGCCCAGCTCTCCTAGAAATTCAGTCAATATCAGAGTGGCTGTGCTGCCAGGCAAGCAGGACCCACGGGACGCCCAAGCGCAGCTGGCAAGAGTTGCAACAGCTCCACCGAAGCCAGTGAAGCTCTGGGGGTTTACGCCAGCTGAGACCTGACCCCAAAAGGTTGATTCACTTGCCCAAAGCCACAGACTAGACCTGAGCGTGAAGCCCAACAGTCTCATCTCCCAGTCCCCTGTGCTATCCACCAGACCACGCAGTCCTCACTGCCACCGCTCTGCAATAGCAGCCTGTGATTACAGATGAGACCATGGACTGGTTCCCTATCTGTAGTTAGCAGAAACCTTTCTTTTTAATGATGATCATTAAATAAATTACACTTTTCCCTAATCCCTGAACAATCTCTGATTGCCTGTACTGAGAAATGGACAGCAGAAGGCGGAGGCTGGAGGAAAGATGATGCATGTGCATGTATGCATGCGCGCATACAATTGAACCAGCCCCAGTTCTGCTAATAACAATTTTGGATTTATTTCTGCCTCTCCCTACAGAGCAGTCCTGTAAGAGATGCAGATCTCTCACTCAAAATGAGATGCAATTTAAACAAGACAAAACACCTTGGCAACTCTCTCGCTTGCCAGATCATGATTTACTGAAAGTGACTCAGGAATCACACAGTAGCTTGTTTCCATACTGGGTCCATAATTAATTAGGTCCTAGACCTGCACTGTGATTGCCTGAGCTGTGATAGGAAACATCTCGGCCGTTAGCTGACTGCCACACAAAAGGCTGCTGGGGGGGGGTAGGCAGTGTGCAGGAGAAGGAGAGTAGGGACCTGCTTGTGGAGCTGGAGATAAAACAGCAATAGGATGGAGGAGAGACTGAGGATATTACATTGCTCTCTGGCAAGCGTGTGGCTATTTTGAAGGATAATCTCCCCGGCCCGTGTCGTGCACTCTGCGATGGGGAGCGCATGTTGGCTAGCAACAGCATCCCCTGTTCTGATAAGCCAGCTGAAACTGGGACAGGGAAAGAGAACTCAGTTGAAGCAGCTAGAAAATCCACAGCTCGGGGAAGCAAAGTACAATTATTTTAAACAACTCAAGCTAAACTAACCCTCTCGGTTTCCAGATAAGAGCTCCATCAGCACAGGCCAGGCCTGCGCACTCCTCCTGGCTCCCCTGCTCCCTGCCCCACTGCTCAGCATCCCCCTTCTGCTCCCTGCTGCTCCCAGACTGGGGTCTGGCTCAGCTCCAGCCCTGGATGACCCATTTTGCTTCCCTTGGTTATAACCTGATGCTGACGAACCTCACACCAGTCCCCGTCTCCTTTCCTCTCTGCATTCTCCCAGTGCTCATCCTTCTCTCATATATGAAGTTCTGGGGTTTCGTGCTACAGCTCTTTGCCGTGGACTCCTCTGACTGCTGCCTGTCACCCCACTTCCTTCATCTCTATGCAGCTACAGTTCCTTTTGGAGCCAGCCTTGTTCAATGGCAACTCTCGGAGGACACAGCAAGGGGCTCCAAAGAAGCATTTGGGATTTCAAGGAACATCCTCATGGTGCTCCACCTGGGGAACAGCAGGGTGATCTCCTGCTGCTAGACCGGCTGGCGGGGGGCCTTGCACCTGCAAGTGGGGGGCCCATGAC